TCATGTGTCTCGTCTTTTTATAGAAGGAACACTTGATATTGTCCTTATTACCTTTGCTCATAACCTCATGCAGCTTACCATTTCCCTTCCACTTCTTATTCTTGTTTGAAGTGTACTTGACATTTTTTGTCACCAGATGTGCAGTTTCATTCACTTCCAAAAGCAGTCTCTCCTCCTCATGAACACACATGGTCAAAAGCTCATTGATTGACCATTTATCCTTTTGTGTATTATAAGATATCTTGAAAGGAGTATAATGAGACGAGAGAGAGTTCAGGACATAATGCACCAGGAATCATCATTAATCACCATCTGAAGGGATGTCAACTGAGCAGCAATGTCCCTCATTTTCATAATATGCTTACGGACTCCTTTAATACCAGTGAACTTCATGGATGTCGATCTACTCATTAGGATGCTACCTAATGCCTTGTCTGATGTTTCAAACTGTGCATGAATGGCATCCATCGGATCCTTGACATTTTCACACTCCGGTATTGACCCACGGATACTAGTTGTAATGTGAGATTTGATAAACATCATGCTTAAACGGTTAGATCGCTCCCACTGTTCATACAAAGCAATCTCAGCTTGAGAGCAAGTATCTGTAGGTGTAGGTGGCTCTTCCTTACGAAGAGCATAGTCAAGATCAATGCACCCTAAATGAAGAAGGACAACCTCTCTCCAGGATTTGTAGTTATCACCATTTAAACTAGGAACCTTATACTCAACCATCATCAAAGTTTGATCAACTGTAGGTATATCAATACACATGCTTACTAAATAAAATATGAGGCACAAACCATCAATAACAATGATAAGTTTACCAATGTAAAACAAATAATAAATCATAAATGAATCGACATATCATAAAATCTCCCTGTGGGTAAAGACATTACATATTATGATTCATTATCCTTTAATGATGAAATTAGAAATTATTAATATTTCATAATACCTGTGGGCTAATTAAGAAATAAGAATAATTTCTATTTCATTCTTAATTAATCATGAAAATATAACATTCCCTGTGGGTAAAATGATTACATTAATATGATTAACTACAAAACGATGTTATTAACCTTAATATGATCATAAATAATATTACTTAATGCATATATTATCATAATTTAGATGTTGCGACTACTCTAAATTAATCAAATACATACGATCATAAAACATCAAATAATTTATAACATGAATTATATAATATAACACAAATCAATACAAGAATAACACATTATTTATGCATAACAAAGTAATATATGACATAAAAAAAACATCATACAAGCTGTCACTGACTTCCACGTGCCACCGTGACTAAAACACATGTCCTCACGCGCCACCAGAAGGCAACACACACTTCCAAGCACCTACATGGCCCTACCACGCGCCTAAACACACACCCTCACGCGCCTGACGCAAGCACAAGCTCCCTCACGTGCCAGCACGTGCCGGTCTCAACCTGGGTCGGGTTGACCCGATCCATTGGGCCGATCTGAACCACTTGACCAGTTGTTGCTTGGTCTGTGCACTTTGATCGGTTCATTGATCGGTCTGACTCGTTGACCGGGTCAGGTTTGGGTTGGTTTGACCGGGTTGTTTGACCCATTTTGACCGTTGACTTTGCCCGGGTCAGTTTGATCTGTTTATCCTATTGGGTCGATTCTTCTTGACCCGTTTTCTGCAACCTTTTACCCAGTTTTGCAGATTTTCAATAGCCCGTTTCCGGCCATTTTTCCAGCGTTTTAAAGGGGAAACTTGAATGTGGACATATAACCTATATCGGTGACATCCCAAATGACAATTTCGTCCTAAATCGGTGCCGTAAATGGCTTCCGAAAACACCCAAACGATAATTTCTAACGAAAATTTTAAACTAGCATAACTTTGCAACCAGAACTCCGTTTTTGACAAATAATATACCGTTGGAAAGCTTTTTCAACAAGGATTCCAATGACATCAAAATCGAGAACAGATTCTATTTATAATAAAAGTTATGCTTGATTTACAGTATGGGTTTTAATTGAAAAATCCCAAATTTTATGCAATATTTTCTAGATTTGCAACAAACATTTTCATGCTAGGCAGAGATTCAAACAATGCTCTGATACCAAATGTAAAATACATTTCTATTCCAATATTCATATAAAAGTTGATAATACAAACAATTTCATCATAGAATCTCCATGGAATATATACGGAAATAAATGACAAACCTCCAGCCATAGCAATTGTTGTTTAGTCTTCTTGTTTCTTCAAAATACAGAGTCTTCATTGACTGCAATTTTAGAATGATGGTTTTTGGGAATCTAAAATGAAAATTATATCTAATGGGGACCTGTAAAGTCTCCTTTTTATATGTAGTTGTCTTTCCATCAAAGACAACTGCCCAAGAGAAGAGACACAACCATATGACCACATCAATCCACATCAGCATAAAAGTGTAGGACCATAATGCCAAAAGTCTAACACACTTTACACAGGATGTTAAACCTAAGTTTTTGCAAAATTTTGCTTTACATATTTTTTTGAGCGTATTCATCAGATTTACAGCATGTTAAAAGAGAGAGGAAAAGACAGCAGAGCTGAATCTCCAGCTTTGCTATTTTAAAAGAGAGAAAGTAACCCTCTGAAAAGGAAATAAAACAATGTAACTTGTCAAAATGTGATGGGCATCAGATGCTTCATTAAAGTTTGAGTGCTGCAATAGCTGATGGTCCTAACATTAACAACAGCAACTTGCACTTTAGGACTGGCTGAGTGAGAGATAAAATGTGATCAGAAGTCAATGGAAACTGTATAAATGTTCATTTGCAGCCAATTGCAGAGACTGAAAAATTGATGGGCACTTACCAAATTTCTTGCAGCTCTGTTTGTGATGATGATGAGAATGCAGAGCCAAGCTTTGCACAGGTAAGTGCACCAACCACTTTTATCACCTTTTTCAATCAAACAACAAAATGAAGAGAACAGAGGGTAAGTTCATATGAGATGAAAAGGTAAATTCATTAAAATGCACTCCATGTACACAAGGACAAAGGTAAAGGCCACTTGGCCAGTGATGTTGGACAGATTGGGCTGGGGCGAATATGGGCTTCAAGAGTGAGGCCCAAAGATGGAGATCCAACATTGTCAGTGGCCTCTAGTGAATTAAAGCCATAGTGTCTTTTCAGTTGAACCATAGGAAAGGAAACAAGAAGCTTAGATTTGAAAAAGAAAACAATAAATCATTTAGAATATGTTCCTACTAATAAAGTAAAGTATATGGGATTAGGGAGTCTTAATTGGCCCCTCCATTAATCCTGCAAATACCTACACAGATGTTTGACAAGATTTTGCATGTAGATGTAGGATCAGAAAATGAATGCAGTGCAGTGCAGTGCAGCAGGTATAACTTCTTGGTACAATCTCCCATTATATCAAATCTAACATTTATTATAAAATTCTGCATATAGTATTTGACCATTGACTGAACAGCAATGGAAATGGAAATGGAAATGGAAGGCAGTGACTGACATCACAAAACCTAACCTACCAAGCGCGTCTCACCCAATACAACAACGTACTTAATTTACTAGTGGCTACTTCACTCTCACCCGCCTTATAATTAATTAAATCAAACGACCCTTCTACATATATAAGAACATGAATGACTTTTTACTTGAGGTCGCTTGTCAGCTAATTATGACTAACACTAATATTATTGCGAGATCAATGGAGAAGTTACCAATAATCAATTTAATTAATTAATGAAATCAACTTTTTTTGTTAATTAATAAGGATGCTAATCATGTGGTCGATCCTTCCTGGTGCTGCACTTATAATTCTAGTGTGTTCCTATAAGTTAATACACATGGTGAAGATAATCTAAACTAATAATCTATTTTATTAGTATTATAACAAGGGAATTAAAAGTCATTTTCCTTTCTTTTTAAAATTTATACTAGCCATGAATCAGTTTCTCATGTTTATAATGGAGAATATTCTATGCAAATTAATAATTAATAAAAGGTTGATCTTTTAATTAATTTCTGGCTAATTAATTAATAAAGGACAAGGGTATGTAATTAAGTTGATGAACATCCTTGAATGATTATGAATACCAACATACCATAATTAATTTAGTCAATCACTTTAGTTACACTTTATTCCAAAGAAATATTTATTCTAAAGCAGAAAAACAGTATCCATTTACTTTGAGCCTTGGCTTTGTTTCTCAATAATTAGATATGGCTGGCAATATACATATAAACTGTGTGCTTAAAAGTTAAAACCAGATGGGTGACAAATGACAATGACAACAACAAAGTTGATGAAGAGAATTGACAATGGAGACGATGATGATGATGATGATGATGAACTGTATACATACACCATAACCATTATGATAATTTAGCTTATTCATTCATTCTGTTTCTTGGTATGCATGTATAATGGGTTCCATAAATGTAAACGCAAGTTGCGAAGTTGACGAAAACTTGGAGACAATTTAAGTGGAGCTGGAGTTGGGAGTAGAAATGATACCATGGGCCTCAGCCTCTTCATCATCAATCACAATTAATTACAGTAAACAAAACAGGTATACGATTCTTCTTTCTTTCATTCAGCCTGGCTCTGCATCCATCATTGATCATGTAAGAAGAAAGAAGAAGTATGATGTTGATGAGTTAATGAATGGTTATGATCAACTTTTTGTCTTAAATAGGAAATTTAATTTATTCATTGTATATTGCTACATGGAAACTTAAAAGAGAAAGAATGAATGATATTTTGAGAGTAGTAGTGAAATAAAAATGAGAAAGGAAAGCAAACTTTGTATATAATTAGGCAGCTTTGTCGGCATATTGGCGGAGATAGACCCCACAATTTATAGAAAAAACGTTAGTGAAGGCTCTCAAAAAGCCACCCATAACCTTTGTGATAAACACAAGCACTAGCAACAGCACCACCAACTTGCCATTATCAAAAAAACCCATTTCACAGAAATTAAATTAATTTATAAATTAATGTGGTCCTTAGCTACCCTTATTAATTTATCTTCTCAGACTTCGCCATCTTTAATTTACAACTTACACAAGAATCACAATACACACCAGAGAGGCAGATAGATAGATCATCTTTTTTCTTAAGGATTCCATCTTCAACATTAATTCTTCCAAGAAAATTTCATGTGGCAGATGTTGGTTGTAATGAGGCGAAACCTCCAAAACATTAGGAAGAGTCCAAGAGTAGCCGATGAAAACATGTTTAATATCAATGGAACTGAACTTCCAATCTTGGTGCATGATATGAACATAAGAAGAAGATCATCACCACGTGGATGGAATGCTTTCTCGCTTATATATACTCTTGTACGTGCTCCACTTTCTATAGTTTCTTGTTTCTCTCAACCTCATGTTAATGGTGCTGATGGCGTCTGGGTTTCTGGTGAATTCGCTCAAATTTCTGAAATGAATCATCTTATGGTGAGTGACAGCATGCGCTATGCAATCTTGATGTAAATTCACATCCCTATGGTTCCTAGCAATAGTTTTACTTATGTTTTAGGGAATTAATCAAAACACTGCTACTATTACTGTTCGGAAGCAAATCTATATGTACATCCATCAATTGTCAGCAGCTTTATTTGCATGGAGCTATCAGCTATGGCTTCGGCCCCTTTTTTTTTTTTTGTCCTTTTTTGATTGTCAAGCATGTAAATTTCTCTTCTGGTGGAGATACAGATATCCATATATGAATGGAGTTTTGCGAGCTATGAATTAATAAATTTTATTTTTCTGGGTTTAATTTGCTTGGTTTCTTCATTTCTGCAGTAGTTACAGTTGAGTATCCTATGTTGTTTACATGATGAAGTTCCAATTACAGAAAATAAATTAACATATATAATAATTATTTAATGGAGTTTCAGATGGTTTTTACTTTTTAGTAAATATATACAGTACAGGCATGGTATTATTAAATGTACTTAATAAGAATAAAGTGGGTGGTATTTTATTGAAAGAAAACAAAATTAAACTAGTGGTGAATTGTAGTTTATTCTTTTTAGTGTAATAAAGCTTACTTACCCCACCGTTAAAAAGTAGTTCTCCATTATTGATAGTGCTCAAATTTTTTTTTTTTTTTTTCCTCATGGAAGGTGTCTTAAGCCATCTTGTGCCTGGGGACCTTGGAATTGGGGATCAAATAAGAGCTTTAATGGCTATACCTATTAGTGTTTGGAGAGACTCGAATTCAAGAACTCATAGAACCTATTTTGCTCTTTTACCATTCGGACACTTGTGATGGTTATATTTGTTTTTCACTTTTACAAGAAAAAATATTAAGATAAATAATGTATTTACAAAACTGAAGAATTAATTTTCATAAATGCACGTTAAATATCAACTAATGAATTGAAGTATGCATATTAATGGGGTATCCAATTAGGACAAATCTTAAAGAGCAAGTTCAAATTACTTTAGATGATACTCCATCCAGCCTAACCTTAATTAAAATTTAATTTTATGGAATAAATTCCACAGGGTACATTTCAAGCCCTTACTTTATCAGACACTAGTTATATCCTACCACATTGTGGATTCCAACCACACCCACCATATAAAAATAAATATGTGTGATAAAAATAGAGGGTAATTAAGAGAAAATTAAATATTATAATTAGTTTAAAGCATCCAGACATTCTGCAGAAAAAAGTTATATCAAATTTGAACCTTATAAAGTAGTCCATACCTATCTCGAAGGATTAAAGTTTCTAGTAATAATGATAAGAGGAGAGGTGTAATGGAATCTTTAAGAGAAATTTGCAATGATGTGGTTGTCTTTGTGCTCATGTATATGTTTAGTGGAACACCAGAATTTTTTTGTCAACTATCCAAATACTTCTGTGTTTCTAACTATACCTAGCTTAAAGTGCCACCTGTTATATTATTTACAGCTTTCTAATTTTTTCGACTCACACATGTTTTATTTCCTCAACCAATAACTATTCAATCCTCTTCATGAATTTTATCAATATAATTCTAAGAGGCATAACAGAAGTAATCTTTGTTTATTTTGTAAGATTTATGTGTTTAGTTTGCAAGTAATAAAATATTACGGTAATCTTTTATTGCAAATAGTGTTTACTATTGGTAATGTTAGAGGTAATCTTATTATCTTGTTAGGGAGTATTATTAAAATATTACCGAGGTAATCTGGTTTTTCTACCCATTTTGTCCTTAATTAAAAACCATTTCGAACACAATTGCCCTCAAATGTCTACTAACTAACAATTACCTAGCCCCTTTACATTTGATAAATTAGTTAAAACACCCTAGCCACAAAAAAATTTAAAAGTTAACAAAATACCTCCAGCCACCCAAGACTACTGCTGGTCATGACTCACCACCGTCGATCGTCGACGTCAGTCGCCGTAATGGTGCACGACCGATGGGATCTGGCTGGTCGTGCGCTAATAAGGCTTTTTCCGTGGCTAGAAACGGCGAGATCTGACATTTCTATGGTCGTGAAAAGGTCAGATCTTTGGCCGTGAAATTGGCACAGCCAAAGATCTGGCCTTTTCACCACCACATCTTTGGCCGTGAAATGGCCATAGATCTGGCAGTTTTCTGGTCATGGATTTGTGAACCATGGCATTTTCGGCTTTGCCAATGCACGGCTGGCCATATACGCCCAGTTGTGTGCCATTCTGTTGACTACCGGTGGTGGCTTGGGGTGGGTATGGGTGATTTTGCTATAAATTAAAATTTTATATAGTTGGGGTGTTTTAGCAAAATTTCAAATGTAGGGGGTTAAAAAAAAAAATTCAAAAAATAATAATAAAAAATACTATTATATTAATATTTAAAAAGGAGGGCAATTTAGTAATCTATATAACATACCCACCAATTTATCCTCTCAACCAAACGTATTCGAACAAATCAAATACATTTTCTAAACATTCCTAGTAATATTTATTTCCGTTAATATAATATACTCTTATAATAAAATTTTATATGATCCAAACGCCCCCTAAGGGGTTGGCCTGGTGGTTAATGAGGTTTACTCCCTAACTCCCTCCCTCGAGTTCCTGTATTCAAACCTTGAGATTACCTATCACAATAATATTGTGGCTTACCTAGTCTTTTAGCTTTATAGGGTGTTCTATGGACCCTAGACCATATATATAATCTCAATTTTTAAATGTTCATTATCTTCATAATCTCCTGTTTGGAAAAAGAAAAAACAATTTAACATATATTTATATAAGTGAAGTTGAGTATCAAAGTGTTTAACAAGAGAAGAGTGATCATGGGACAGGCATGTAGAAGCAATAATTTAATTCAACTATATATATAAGTTGTGCATAAGAAAGAGAGATTATGAGTAGTACCATTTAGTACTAGAGATTCTTATCCATTAATAAAAGAAAAAAAGAAATAAATTATGAGTTTGTAGAATTTACAGTGTTTTCTGATAATGGGAAAGATAGATGGAACTCTGGAGACGATCATGATTACAGATATCCCAATCTAGCAACCTAATCCTTATCAGAAAAAACTCTTATTTTCTGGAAGCAGGCGTTAGATTGGAATTGGATTGTATTTGCTTTTTGTTTTTATATGGGAAGTTGATAGCTGATAGTTTCAGCCACCACCACCAAACCTTCCTAACAAGTAATTAACATCTCCATCTCCATCTCAAAACCTTCCTACATATTAGGTTACCTACTTGTATTACGTATGATTGATGTTTTTTATATTTGAACTCCAACGCAACATTGCTTTGATTTTATAGATTCAGCAGTGCGTGATTGCCGAATCAAAGTTATAGAAAAAGCTAATACGGCTCGTTAAATCTCTTCTTCGCTACGTCTTCTAAGAAAATCATATTGATGATTTAGTTAATTAGTATTATACTTATAATGCTCAAAGTATCTTTGATCCCATCTCATCAGTAATAACTAAAGCTAAAACACAGAGCATGTAAGGTGCAACTAATAAAGTACCTTTATAATCTCCTTTCATTATCTTATCTTTACTTGATCAACTCCATTACCATTTTGGCAACCTTTAATCCCCACTTTTTAAGTACAGCCTGATGAATAAGACAACCAATATAAATTTTAAAATTATTAAACTAATTAATAAATTATCATCAAATTCTGGAAATAATTGAGTATTGATAATGACTAATTATTCCCATTATTAATAATGCTCTCAAATTTCAAAGTTGATGGCCAAATTATTTTGCTTCCTTTGTGTTACATTCAACACCGACATCCAGAGGATTTATTAACTTCCTCCTAGTACAATCGTATGGTCTGCGGGATCATAATTATACAAATATATATATAAGCCTATATCAATTATCATTTATCTGCCGTTTTCCACATAATTAATCTTGATTTCTTTCATTGTTGTTGATCATTGGTGACAATTTGTTTATTATTGATACTTATTAACTTCTCTAGAAACTTTTCACATAAATATTTTCAATTTTTTTTTTTTTTTTTTTTTTTTAGGGTTCAACAACTTTGGAATAGTGCTCCACTATGTGATGCTAGTAAGTAAGAAAAATATTAATTATGCATTTTTAAACCCAGCCGTCAAAATCATTATTCACTATATAAAAATCAATCTAATCAGTTGTTGGAAAATAAAGAACATCAAATCTTACTCCACTCAAAATCGAATTGTCTTTAGAATATTGAATCCTAATCCACATTTAAATTGCATCTTAATTCATTTGAATAACATTGTATTAATTTTTGTTAAAAAAATCAATATATATATTGGGATCAAATTCCTTTTTCTCAAATTCATTGGGTTCCTTCGGACTAATGAAATCCTATGCAAAATTGTTAGGGCCAAAAATCGTCCTTGGTCCAACTAGGAAAACGGGCCCGACAATAAAGAAGAGGCCAGGCCCAACCCCGATATGACCCGACCAGATTAGGCCCATTTGATACAAGATACAGTCGGCCCAAACCACGTGGGCACGAACATCCTAATCCCAATCCATTTTCCAAACCCATGGGCGAATCCAAAACCCACGGCCCCCTCAGAATACTTTCCTACTCCTGATCAATCTCTTATTCAAGGGTTTGTATCAGAGTCATACGAGGACTCCTACTTCTACCAGGATTGGGAGACCAGACAGTCACTATATAAACAGAGGACAGTCCTCTCACAAAGAACATGACATTACACCTTCACACCGAAAGCTCTGACTTGGGAGCTCCACATCACCGCCGTAGTCACAGTCCCCGACTAGACTTCCGATAACCTCTACTCCCTAGCCCTTACCATATTAGCCTCTCTCAGCCTTGCTGACTTGAGCGTCGGAGTGCCTACGGCAAACACCACCCTGATGTTTCCCGTTCGCTTCACGTGTGTGTTTCTCTACGTGTGTAGGTACAGCGGATCGCTAGTGGCCTCAACCTCACGGGATCAGACCCCCCTTTCGTATAGGTAGATTTTTACGTCTACAGTTTGGTGCCCACCATGGGGCCTCTAGCAATCATTCGGCTTGATGAACCTTGCTACGTGGAGGAACATTCCATGGCTGACAATCTCGACAATGTTAACCCCGCCCTCGAGGCCAGACTGGAGGCTTTGACCGCTCTCATGCAACAAAACTCAAACAAGGTGGTCGCATTGGAAGCTGAGAATAATGCAATCCGGACCGAAAAGGCGTCCATTAGGGTTGAAAACCAGTCTCTGAAAGAGAAGGTGAGTCAATTCTATGATCTCGAGTTCTTGCCCAACCAAGTACCCCCCAATCGGTTCCGCGCCCCTATCCCATCC